CTACCACTTTCTTCAATATATGGAGGTGCTGGCGAACGAGAACGACTTTTCATACCACTACGTTCTTCAAGATAATCGCCATAAACTGAGCCAGCTTGAGATCCAGGGGCAGATCCTAATTTCTTATTTGATCGACCAGAATGATAAGAACGGTCCGAAACTTTAGTGTGTGCGGAATCTTGAGATCCTTGTGTATTAACTTCCCATAATTCTTGTTCATAATCTGACCACTTCTTTTTAGGAATACTCTTTGGATCAAATTTTCCTTCGTCAGTTACTACCGTTTTTTTGCCTTTTTCACCAACAACAGTACGAGTATTACCCCATGAGAAATCATCAAAATGCCAGAATGCATAAACTGGTAGGTATAAAGAAAAGACGGGCATAGCAATAATATAAACGATCATCCAACCGACATGTTCCCATTTTCTGCGAAGAATAAATATAACTGCTTGTAAACCATATACAGCAGCAAGTAAAGCTAATGACAATATAGGGATACTCGTTGGTTCTCTTATGACTTGAACAATCAGATAACCAAGATAGCAAACAGTTGCTGGCATGATGAGAGTTGCGAATAAATCAATCATAACAATGAAACGCATTGAAAAACAGCAGAAACCACAAAGTTGTGGTAAGAATACTAATTCCATAAGATTATGAACAGTGGAATTAATCCATCGGCGACGTTGAGAAATAAGAACGGACCATTGATCTGGAGCTGTAGTTTTGCATTGTGCATCTGGAACAAATGTCATCTTGTAATTTGAAAAATGTTTCATCATAAGTGTTGTCAAATAACGATCTTCACCAAGGGAAAGCAAATTTTTCTTGTGCAAAGTATCAACAATATTCTCAGAATAATCATCAATAACTTGATTGCTAATTAATAAAGGTTTGTGTGTGTCAGGAGTACGAACTCGATACATGCAGAAACAGCCGGGTAAACAAGTGACACTACCGAAAAGAGATTCGAATGCTTTGGAGAGATGGTGAGATATGTAATATTCGTATACTTGAATCATAGTGACCCAAGAATCTTTTTCATTAGCAAGAGTTGTTTCACCACAAAGACCCATTACTTTAGTATCATGCATGAATGCAGACACAAGACGATTCAACGAATCTGGCAAAACTTCAGTATCAGCATCCACCATAAGAACATATTCGTAGAAACTAGGGTTTACACCAATAACGTTCTTAATTTGATGATACATTTCCAATTCCAAGGGAGTCATTTCAGTGTTGAAATGTACTTTATTCAAGAATTTCATAAGTACCAATTGAGAATCACGTTTACCACGGTTACCAGGTCGAGATCTTTCTGTTGCTTTGCCGACTTTAACTACTACAAGATAAGGTACAACATGTCCATTACATTCATATAATCCAGAATAAACTTTCCCCATATTATGTTGTTTAGAACCTTCACCAAGTGACAAAAAGCTGAGAGGTTCCGGATCCATGTTTGGATCAACACCCAATATATCTAGAACGATACGTGGCGTCGGTCGGTCATTACCAGTACCAACAATCATACCATCACAAATAATGAATAATAATTTCCTCTTATCATCATATCTCAAAACAGCTAGAGAATCCAGAGTTTTACGCATTGATTCTTCACTTTCAGTATAACAAGGAACTTGACAAATGACAAATTTATCATGTTCTTCAGGTTCTCGTCTTGCCCCTAATTGTAAAGCTGCTAAAAACTTGAATAAAATTACAGCGACTAGAACTCCCGAAAATGCGAGTAAGATATAATTGGAGAAAAGACATTGTGGAGAATTACGATGATCCACTTTTCCAATATAGAATAAATTTTTCAAACAAGTTAACTGATCGTTTTTTTGATCTTGACTAAGGGGTAGGGAATCGAATTTTTTACTTATATCAAGACCACTACTAGAAGTGAAAAGTGATACAATCATTTCATTCATGAAATTTAAGTTGACAGAATCCGTAACATTAGTGTTATTAGGACCTAAGGCGCCACGACCACCCATGACATAAGATGTAAGATCATATACACTGTCATAAAGAATAGCAACTTGTTTCTTACTAGAAGTAGCCATATCTTGTATATTTTGTGGTGGATAACCTTTTTGACCAACTAAATATTGAGCTCTCATTTGTAATAAAATTTCTTCAAAGTACCAATCAGGTCGATAATCACCAGTAAAGTAACGGAAGTCATGATATCTAGCATTTGGATCCGCATTGTTGCCAAGATTATAATCAAAAGTTACCCTAGGGTCAACACCAGCACAAAGTGCACTAACCTGAACAGGGAATAATTTTGATGCATCGGTACCACCATAAGCTAATATTGATTTTTGATCAACGATAGTTGGTATATGACGAGGAGCGAAGCTACTCAGAGAAAAAACTTGACCTCGAATAGAGACAAAGACATTGTCCGGAGAAGTATCAAAACTATGAGCTTGAACTTCAGCATCGCTATAAATATATACTCTAGGGCAAATTAAAAAGCCCAAGACAGCGATAACAAAAATAACCAAACAAGATATTAAGGCTATAATAATACAAAGAGCAACCTTTTCACGCCAAGCCATTTGAATGTCTTTACGTTTCATACCACCACAACAACTTAAGAAACATGGAGGGATCCACCAAGTGAGTAACCAAGTAAGAAATACCCATTTTTTACGAGCAGCAGTAGTCTTACGAGGTTCTTCGGGTTCTTCTTCTACTAATTGTTCTTTTTCATTCATCATTTTTTTAGCATCCATTCCACCAAACATATTATGAGATGGAGCATATATTTCAGAACCATAAGAAACGCTTTCACCATATTGACTATAACCTTCTTCTTGATAATTTTCATCAGAATAATTTGAACGATTATCATCACCAGAATAAAAAGATTGTTGATCAAAATTTCTTGGTGGAGAAAGGCGACGAGGACCACTATATAATTCTTGATTTGAAGGATATGAAGCTTGAGACATTGCATCATCATTTTGACCATTATCAGGTATCTTAGAAACACCTTTTTTATCTGACTTCTTTTTTCGTTTTTCTTCATTATCCGTTCTTCTAAGCATATCTTCTAAATTATGCCATGCTTTTTCACTTAAATAAGTCTAAAAAAATTAAATTTTATAAAAAAAAAAAATTTTTTTTTTAGTTATCAATATAATAATAATAATACATAATAATAATACATAATAATAATAATAATAAATAGTACCTTATTATATCCAACTGCCATATCTAATGAATTCCAACCAAAATTATTAGCTATAGCATCACATTTTGCTTTTGGATCTTTATATTGATCTAATCCTATAGAATTTAATATATGAGAATATCTTTCCAAAAAGTCCAAATGCATCATTCCGATAGTGTAATCCATTTGTAATTGTTTTGCTAATTCAGGTATTCTAAGAGATTTTATTTGATTTTGAACAACTTTTTGATTAAAATTATTTGGAAGTTGAGCATCATTAGGTCTTATACAGAAAATGAACCAAGGTAAAGTCTCATCAAGCGTTTCACATAATTCATCAAGAGCTGAAGAAATTTGAGTAGCAACACAAGCTACTTTAGGCTTATTAGGAGAATCAGTGGTAGATTTTTTTCGACGCATTGAAGGAGCACGCATAGGTTTAACAGATTGTTGAGCAGCAACAATCGTATCATCATTCCTTGGATGAGATTCGGTAGCAACAGCTTGATCAGTAAAAAGACCTGCAATGAATTGATTACTAGATGAAGCAGAACCTTCACTACGAAATAGAGAGACAAAATCTGCACAAAGATTATCAATGTTTTTTTCAAGGAAGCCGGAAGAATCATAAGTAACTTCACCAGCGAAATGACGAATACCAAAAGTTGGAAGAGAATTCAAACTTTTTCCAGTAGGAATGAAAGAACTATGTTCAGAATATTTTTTATTAAAAGCATCCAACATAGTTTGATCAGTTTTACGATTCGACTTATTAGCTTGATCGTTCATAATATAAATTAAACCAGTAGAAGGTTTTTCAATCATACGTAAACATTCATTATTATCTACGTAAGGTATTTCAAAAAAGTTAATTCCTTCAGATTGAAATTCCTCTTTACGGGCTTCAAAAATTTGATTTAAAGTAAAATTAAGAACTTTTTCATTTGCAAAATTGACACAGAATTGATCTAAAGAATTAGAAGGTAAATTTTGAAAACCGATTAAATCTAAAATACCGACAAAATTAACAAAGTCATCTTGACAAAGTTTTGTGTTAATATATTCTACGATCCAACTGAATAATAAAGAATAAAGAGCCTTTACAAAATCATCACGCTGTATCGAAGCAGAATCAGCATCTAAGAATATAGTACACATTTCCTTTTTTATTAACTTAGTTTTATAAGTGAGAACATTTTCTAGAGAAGTAGCATCAACTCCTAAAAAGTCAGCGACCAAGCTCAAAACATCCAAGTTTTTAACAATAGCAGCTTCCTTATTTTTATTAGCATCTTGAATGAATTGTAAATTACCCAAATGTAAAATTGAAGCCAAAAGTTGAAACATTTGAGCGACATGTTTTTTATGAAATCCAAGAGACTTTAGAGCTTGTTTTAATTCATTGAAATTATCAACATCATCAATTGAAGATCTAACACCTTTAGCGACATTAAGATAACGATATTGAGAAATTTCAGTGAGATGAAGATGAGCTTTTTCTTCTTGAGAAGCACCAGCGATTAAATAATAAAAAACATGAAAATTTCTTTCATTTGAAGGAACATTAGAGACGCGATTTTTTTCCAAAAGATAATCAAGAGTTTTAGCACCGATTAATTTTCCACGTTCATTAAATTGAAGCTCAGTATATTTTCCGAATCTAGAAGCATTATTATTGGATATTGTTTTTGCATTACCAAAAGAATCCAAAATAAACTCTGAATAAGGAACTTGAGTTTGAACGCGAGAAGCTTTTTTATGATGAGCACTTAGAGCGGTTAATTGTTTTACTAAAAGTTTTCTAGTTTCTGATTTTCCACTCCCAGATTCACCACTATTTTATTTAATATATATATATATATAATTGGTAAATATAATTAGTAACATAATTAGTAATAATATTTAGAAATAAAGAAATAAAAGGAATAAAGACATACTTTAATATTATAGATTGGTCTTGTCCAGTACGTCGCATATGTAAATAAGCATGAGAAGCAATTTGAAAAGCGTGAGGAGGTAAAGGAGTACTTTGACTCGAAGTGTCTTTATAGTCAGCGACATAGTCTTGAACAGTTGATTCATTGAAGATGTCAAGTTTTTTATGAGGGTTAACAGCCACAAGAGCGGAAGCGTTTAAACGAGTGTATATTAAATCATGTTGATAACGGTCACGAATCGTAGCAGTTACAGAGTCTTGAGATATGTTTTGTATGTTACAAAGGTCCTCGCTCGACGAGGAAGAATTCTTTTTTTTACCCATTATAAGTGGGTTACTGAGTATCTAAAACGCACCAAAAAGTCTAATATTATCTATAGACTTAATAAAAAGGATATAAGTTTATTTTTGAAACGTTAAAGGGTAAAAAAGAGGGGATAAATGAAGAAAGGGTAAGGGAGAAAAAATATACTTTAGAAAACGAATAACTCATAGGATAAAATATGCAAGAGCAGTGCCACTCGAATATTTTCTGTGTACAATAATGATGTATTAAAAAGCAGTTTTACATGCTGCATATAATTTAAATACTATTTATAGTAAAAGGATATAAAACTTGCATTGCTCTTATACGTACACAATATTACTCTTACCTTACTTAAAAAGATTGATCCTAACCTTGTGTTGAATAGTATAAATTAAAAAAAGAAAATATAATTTGATCTGATGAAATACGAGGTTGATTTATTTTTTCCGCCTTAAGTTTTAGTTATCTCCAACGAGAGTAAAAATGTATATAGACAAGTATAGAAAATAAAGATATTAAAATATTATATATATATAATTTAATAAATAGACATATATATATATGTAGTACTGAAAAGGAGAAAATGAAAGCCGTTCGAACAATTAATAAATTTCAAACCTGGATAAACAAGTGCAAACTCCTACATTATTTAATCCAACCACAAGAACATCAGAAAAAGGATTGCATAAAATTAATAAAATTAGAATGTATAATCGAATATGTATAATCAGGTCCCCATCCTTGCGGCGGTACACAAACATTTCTAGTATATATATTTATTTATAACCGATTATCGAAAAGATCTATTAATAGAATTTTTAAAGCCGGTTTTTTTTTTTTTTTTTTTAGTGTTTGTTTAAAATCGATCGAAAATTCGTATTTGTTGTTACATTCAATTTTTATAAATGCTACTTTTGGATTCTCGAATTCATCCTGCTTCTGCTTCGGAAGAATAAATGGTCCGAATCGCATAACAATGTTCAAATTCAGCCAATTATATTACAAAAAATAACTTTATTTTCCATACAAAGTAAATACAAAACGTCTCGTGATACATACAATAAGAAATACTGTATACTACGTAATTACGACTATAATTCTGTGATTACGACTCTCGTTCCGGTGAACGGCAAACGAACATATATACTATCAATTGACGTAATGAGAACACTTCGGGTAATTAAGGGTCATATCTCATACACCTATCGTCAATCTCCCCGAGATCATCTGCATTAAACACATGGGCTCTCTTAAGAGAACCAATCGTCAATTTATTGAATTCTGCTGATCAAACTTTAAGGATTCAATATAAATATGCTTTTAAAATAATCATATTATGCAAAACCCAAGGAAACAGAGCTATACCTCGGACGTTACCTTAATTTTAGACAAAGTTTGATTCATATATTACGCATTGCCATTCATATATTATGCATCATCTTTCATATATGATATATTATATAATAACTTTGTTTAATTTGAGAATATCAAATACGGATAGTTCTTTATTAATCTTACCAAATACTCTGAATTCTTAGGAACCCGTGAAAAAAAATGCATGGTTGTGATCGACAAATGAAAATTTTAGACCATCATTATATCGTACGTAGCACTTAAATTCGCTAAATGTTACAACAAATTTATATTTGTCTGATATTCTAATACCATTTCAATTAGCAGTTCCTGAACTGGTAAAACCGTCCATATTTCAAATTTTTACTATTACTAACTTTGGTAACTCGGATATTTCATTGAGAGCAGGCGTCCATTAACATAATCGGTCATAAAATGTTAAGCATGACCTCGATTTCTAAATGTCCCATATCTTGCGGTCTTGGCTTATCTTGGCGCATTCAAAAATGCATAAACGACCCATATCTTGCTGCTTGGAGCATTCAAAAAATTTACGCCACATAGAAATCCAAGAAAAAAAATGTTCATATACTAAAATTGATGAATTACTGTAGCACTACGTAAAGCTCAAACACTTTTAATAAACCAATGTCAGGATGTTTGACTCGTAACCAATAAATCATCTCACAATTGAAACACAAATTTGTGAAGTCGGAGATAAATAAAAGTTTGGTAACCTTGCTATTCTGATACTCCTGATATCGTGAATGATCTCGTGTAACAAAACAATTGACAAAACTCTAAAAAACTTGAGTAGATTTCACTTTTGATGAACCGGGATAGATTAGTCGCACAACCAAATTTCAGCAGATCGGCCAAAATTTAGGGTCGGAATGGGCCAGAGCTAGCCGGCATAAACATATAATACTTACTATATATAGCAAAATTAATAGCTGAACAATTTTACTTAATATATATATGGGGAAACCTGCCTTCGACAGCTAATGCCGAAGGCAGGTTTTCCTATACCATTCCCCATATAGGCTACCGGTTTATTGGTGAAAATTTGGGTGGAATTTATCAATTCCGGCCTATTCCGGACCTCTATCTGTTGAAATTTGGTCGCGTGACAATCTATTCTCGCTTGACATAATTACGTCACTGATTTTAAATAGCGAATCGAATTTTTAACCACTTACCGCGGATAAAATTTGGCTTTCACCTCTTTACAAGAAATAATACTATTACTATAATCTTTAAATTAAATATGTCTCAAAAGTTCTCAAACCGTAAACCTCCGTATAAACATCAAAATATTCCAAGCGAAGAAGAATCTGGCAATAGTCTTGACCAAGATGGAGGGTACGAACTTGCTGTCAAAACTAACTAGCCAATCTTTATATATATCTTTAAAAAAAATTTTTTTTTCTTAATTCGTTAGAGAAGACATTGTTCAAATTTTTACTGCATTTAATAGTAAGTAATTGTTACACTTTAATAAAAGTCTTAGTAAACTTCAAATACTACTAAACAATATATTTTTTTAAGATCGTATGGAAAAAAAGGTAAAAGATAAGCAACGAAAACTTACCTCAGAGTGTGACACAATGATTCAACAAATATCCGAATTTGCCCATGAGCTTGTATCAAGGCAAAAACAAGAAATGTGACTATAATTGTGTATTTGATTTGAGAATTTTCTTTATTTGAAAGTTTGTATAACAATTTTGAATTGACATTTACAATTAGTGATGCCAAAATCAATGAGTATAAACTTAAGTATGAAGAATTGGCTGAAGAGAAACTCACTATCGTCAAAAAGTTAAGATCTGAGGAGGCAAAATATTTGGTAAATCTTAAAAATATTTTGATAAAATATTTTGATGATTCTATTTTTAATTTTATTTTTAATTTATTTAATTATTTGTGAATTTACTTAAAAATAGCAACTACATGATTCGATTATCTGTGAACTTGATAAGATTGAAATTGCTCAAATGAATGCAAATCAGGCGTTTGAGAAAAAATACTTGTCGTTTGTTGAAGGTAACGCAAATTTATTATTCGTGCAATTTTGATATTATTTTTATTATTTTTAATTAAATTTCAATAAATGTTGATCACTGCAGATACTAATGGCCAATTGCAAAACTTATTAATCAAAAAAATGCTATGAAAAATTCTTTCTTTGAGGAGTCTAGAGATTTGTGAATTATAACTTTTTTAATGCAATATCACATTCACTAATTTACTATTGGTAAGTATTATTATAACTAAATTGTTAAAATTAAAAATTTTACGTTGCTATTTTGCTCTATTATTAATGCATTGTTTAAGTAAGAAAATTCTACGTACCATCGTTACGTATTATACGTAAAAGGAAACGTACTAAACTATGATCTTCTCCTTGTAAGGCTTTTTTTAATTTTCTAACAAGTATCGCGCCAAAATGTTATTTATTTATATAAACTTTACAAATTAGATTTTCATTCTATCGCTATTTTTAACCAAATTTTGTTCACATGATATATGTGACCAGATCTAACGTAAAACTTCAAATGTTACCTAGTCAAGCATTGTGTAACAGACGATAAAATTTTTTGGCGTCTAAACCACAAATCACGTTGTTAAATTATTTGCTTCTATGCGCTCAAAATTTATTGCATGCCTTAATTTTTCATGTTTCTGTTTCTGGCAATGTGGTCAACTCTCAAAAAAAACCATAAATTTATCCATATCAAAATGATAGCATAGGTGCGTTATTTTGAATATATCCATTTGTGTTCTTTCAATTTCGAAGCCCAGAGATATTATATGAGGTGTGCGTTATTTCGGGACCTCATGAGAAACTAACTTTTTAAGGTGCGCGATTTTCGAAATAACGCCCATTGCTCGCTATTTTGAGAATTTATGGGTAATTTGAATGTAACTATATACAGTATATACCCTTTTTGATCTTATTACAAAAATTTGCGTTCTATAAATATAATCTTTATAACCGGCCGGTTATCTATAATAATAATAATACCGATATTAATATTAGATCTCCGATCCAATCAAATAACAAATAATTAGCCAATAACAAAATTGGTAAATTTTAATGTCGATAGATATACTCTACGTATACTTTTTAATTCAAAGTTAGCAGTAGTTAGCTTATGTAAAAACCTATACCTTATTCTGTGAAAAAATATGTCCACTTTCAATAAGAGCGTCAAAGTTAGGGTTGGATCGGTCCTGCAAAGACCGGTTAAAGACCGATCTTTTTAACCGGTTAGGCAGTCCTCGGTCCCTGGTC